TGAACACAATATTGCGTAAAATACACGTAGTTCTAAAATGGTTGATATTATTAAAATTAAAGGGCGGTGGTCGCGGGGCTGGTCGACGCGTTATACGTGAATTTTATTCTAGTTACAGCGCAATTTTAGTTTACACGAAAGTCTAAAGCATTTTGCTTGGTGATCACTTCCTTTTTCAAATATTTTTGAACTCAGTCATGCGAATTTCCAGTCCTAGGATTCGAAGAAATTTAACAAAGGCAACAGTACAATAAATTCGTGCAAGCACATCCGGCATGAGGCATAAAGTAGTAGTTATTCAATTGTCAAAAATGAAAAAAAAAATGCCGTTCAGAAATTTCCGCTTGATCTTCAACTCTTTCATCACCAATCGTCTGGAGAACAGAACTAAGTCAGAGAACCGAGGAACCTCTAAATCAAACTTCAAATCTATCACCTCATCCTGTTTTGTGAATTGTTATGGCCGTCCTGCTATTGCCCAGGTTACCATAATCGTCACGCAGACGCGCATTCGAAGTTCGTTTTAAATAAGCAATGTATTTACGTCGTCGCATGGGACCCACATCGAACACGGCGCGTTGCGGTGGCTGTGAGGCTTTATTAAACTACTTCTGTAAAGCCCATCTGCCAGCTGCACGGTCTGTGAGAGCGATCCGAACCTTTTTTTCAAATACAGCTGTACAAATAGCCCATCCACCATTAAAACGACCGTAACAACAGGTCAACAAAATTCGTCAGCCGCGTTATTATAATGCAATTACTCTGAGATTATTTAGACTAGTTGTCACGTGCCAAGAAGTACCACCCCCGCACCGGAACCTACACTGCATCATTTTCTAATATAGCTAAGTTGTAGCTAAACTCCAAACTCAATAAAAACACAATATTCTTCTCGGAAGCCAAGCGAATTGATGTCGATTCATGTGCGTATGGATTTATAGTCGCTAAGCGTCAGCCGGCATCCAATTGACGTACGTACTGGAGATAAGTGATCAACACTCAGTCTCGACCCATTAAAATAGCGCGGTAACGCCGATGATAAGCAAATTGTACACCGAGCAAGTAAAACTCTTCTCATTAGTGCATTTTAATGGTGTGATACAGTATCTTAGCCGGGTTGTCATGGGATGTCACGTGGTTGTCGCTGTTTCTTTTTTAAACACTTGATTGTGTTCACGTCGTCGCTGCAAACCGTCAATTCTGTCAAAATATCTCAGTTTGTTTTGATGCGACGGGTGACGTTTCTTTCAAAAACGGTTACTGAGCTTTTCGAGTATACCAGTATTTGTTTACGTCAAGAAAGTCATTTAGCTTTTCTTTTGCAAATCAGTTTTACTGAAAAGTCAAACTTATTCAGAAAAACCATCGGACTTTTCTTTTTTCTTTTGAAAGGCTGTTCTACTTATAGTACGGACACTGTGGGCTAGTATCACGTTTTTGTGAGCATCTGGCTAAGAAGATGCGAAAGATTGAAGGTACAATGTTTCATCAATACTCAATATACGCCCACACAATGGCATTTTATAAAAAATATCTTTTTGTGAAAAATATCGCGGCGAGATTTCGTAGAAAAGATGTTTATTATAGTAAGCCGAGAGTCATCAAATATGAGATTTGTTTTTAGGGAAAGTATTTGCGAGTGAGTTGACTTATTCAGGTGGCATTGTTATACGCTCTATTTTACCGGCAGATATAATGTTTATTGTAGTGCTGAAGGGTGAACTCATTCCGAGCAGTCGTTTGAACTACAGCCGCGTGACATTCACTGCAAATCAAGCGAAAGGTTACGTCGCAAGATTCCCAAATGTCATATGAGACTGTTATCGGCTTCGTGTACAACAGTTGTGTTTATGAACCTTCAAGTACCTTTATGAAGTAGTTCAGTCTCGAAAACTCGAACGATTGACAGTCCAGAGCCATGCTATCCCATAATAACACAGATAATTGAACCTTGTTTTTCGTCGTGCACATCTCTACATGGAATGAACACGTGACCACACTGATGCCGTACAATGGAAATCTCGAATTCAGACGGCATGTTAGGCTTTCACTCTCAGAACTCCGTCAATATATGCGATACGGCAGGAAGTTGCACCAGCCAGCGTGTACTGAAATTCCCAACACCTGGGGCGCTGGAGAAAATCGGTTTTCTGCAATTGTTTTATTCACATCTGTATTTTACCTCCCACTAGTGTGTACATTTAGATTTCATGTTTCACAAAATAGCTTGAGCAACACCTCGCCCCGCGTTCAAATGGGATTTCAACATGACGCGCAGTACCGACCTATCAAATACTAAGCTAGTGAACTATTCAAATCATGACAGTTTTCGTGTAACGTTTTTGATTTATGTGATTGTACGATTTGATTAAAATGACCCAATGGCTTCGCTTTGACGTCACTCTGCGTAAGTATCAGGTACATACATATCGGTATAATCCACAGAAAAATCTGGCGTGAGCTCAGCCCCCCCCCAACCGTAGTGCATCCTGGATAACAGAAGAATGCCGAACAGGTACAAAGTGATTCCAATATTGAATCATCCTTTGTTTTTAAAAAAAAATGGAAATAACATACTCACCTCGTCTGTCGGGATTTCAACTTCATTTATTTGTTCTGAAACAAAAATAAACACAACTTTAATATATTTACGTAGACAATTTCCTGGCATTGAAGTTAATTTTGTTTCCGAATAGTTGTTTTATCTAATATTATTTGATGTAAAAGACGGCTCATAGATGACAATAAGTAGCATTTATTTATTTGCATTATATTTTATCAATCTGAGCCTATTTTTTCCTGGAAATGATGGTTATATATTAGTGTAAGTACTATAACATGTTTTATTATTGGTTTCTGGGGGGGGGGGAGTCTATCCAAAATGCCAACTGGTATATAAATATATATCATGAGAGATGGAATATATATATATATATCCTGAATTTTCTACAAAGACAATACATCTAGATTGCGTAATATTTAATATGTTCTATGCAATTTTTATATTAATTTTATTAAATTATAGTGGCTTGTTTTCAAATGTTGTTTACTGTCATCGTGATCCTTTTGAATAGTTATATTAATAATGTCATTATAACTAATTTACTCAAAAATAAACTTAAAACGCAAATTGGCGCAAGAGAACCATGAGACTTGTTTTTTGCCCCTCAAATCGAGGTTTCATGCCCCATCCCGTCATCAAATCAACTGTTCCCATGACGTATGTAAGCTTTAGGATGGGAGCACTATTTGAGAGGGAAACGCAAGTCTCGTGACTCTTTCTCCCACGTGATCTCGGCGGCCATTACTGTTTAAGGTTTATTACTGACGTCACGGGGGGGGGCAGCATATGCCAGCATTGGACTGAACTGTCTGAAGCAATGAGGACGATGGCATGTCGATAGCATTTGTACATAATTATTTTCAGGTTAAACTCAGATAGGGGTAAGATCACCTGATTACGAAAACTGTTATTTAGTTTTCTTGATTAAAGCGCGGTGATCGTCGCGCTGCGCATGTGCGACATTTGTGTTGATAAATATTGATTTTTCCACAATCCAATGTGCTCTTCAAATGAAAATCACAAGTATGAGGGTTGACCTGGGCGCGACTTGCACTGAATACCGCCGGTGACTCCTTCCAATCATATAATTAAAGCTTTGAAACGTCCCAGCTGTACTCGTTGATCTGCGCAACAGTCAAAGTCGCCATCTTTGTTTATATGAGACCCATATATCTCGCGCATGCGTGGCGCGACGACTACCGTCCTTTAAATATAATGATTGATTAGATTGATAAATGATGGGATGTTTGGTTGGTTGTGAAGTTTATCATAACGATGCCTTATATTAATATCGACAGCATAAATTCATTTTCTTGATTTTCAGAAATATTTGTGAATTTTAATTGCAGTTGAATCTAACCAGGAAGCCGACAGGCACAGTGCGAATTGACGTCATTTGAAAATGTTCCAAAGTTATTTTACCAGCCAATAGAAACTGCGCGTTTCACAGTTTAAATTGTTAAATTTATGAATATTTTTTTGAAAACAAAACAAGAGAATGGGTTTGTGGTGTCGATGGTATACTCAAAAAACGTTACAGGGTCCATGTAAGAAGGTATACTGAATCGCCCGGACATCCTGATACACCATGAACTATGTATGAGGCAATTATATTTCTGATTGATGGCAAGAAAGTGAAACCTGTGGAACGAGTGTCACGCGCAGACGATTATTGAGAGTCACGACAGACAACCCTCCAAGGACGATATGTTGGTACGGTCTTATGTTAACTGTTAATTGGCATTAAAATCCTCGGCGGTGCAAGCCGCAAAGGGGTTGCGTAAAGGTAAGCAGGTGTCGTAAAACGGTGCTGCAGCCCGCTATAAAAAGACGCCCAAGGCACACGTGTTGAAATAACGATTATGAACAACGAACTGCACTAACAAGTCCGTTTACGATTGTGAATTTGAGTGGGCGAGATCTTAACATCATTTTCAAACTGCAATGCAACGAAGCTGTGTGTTTTTGCCTATCATCCACGCTAACTGTTCCTGATAGAAATTATTGACGACTTACATATCCTGCGTAGGCGACTTCAGTATGCCAATCACCCAGGTCGTTGCTAGGATACTCCTCCTGATCATTCTCCGTGATCAATGTGGAATATAAAGACCGCTATTTAATTCTTGATCGAATTCTCATTTTATAAATAAAAAAGAGGATTAAAATTGAATATAATCGAACTACGTTTTTTTTCCCTTTTGCTACACCCGTATCTATGTTACATTTCAATTCAAGAAAGTGTAGTTTTTTAATTAGATTTAAAGCGACATTTTGTTTTAGATCGCTGACGTTAAAAAGTGATAAAATGTACATTTACGCTAATTGAAACACCGTGTTCAATAATCTGATTCGTTGCCCCGAGTATCGTTTTCTGTGTACACGCATCATTTGCCTATGCACTGAACGAACAACTCGTGTAATTCGATATTTGATCTCTTTGTGAATCTTTCTAAACACATCATCTTCAACTAATTGCAAATTTGCTGTTCAAATTTATTTATTTGCAAAAGTCCTTGTAAACCGCCGACTTTTACCCCACTAATATTCGTTTTAATTATCATGCTATCGATGATACCGCAGGGGAAATAAGAGACTTCAAGGACACAAGAATAAAAGCGGTTTCGTCGAACCACGTTTATTATGGTGCATCTAGTCGCGATCGTCATCCGCAGGTTTTAACCCCTATGAGTTTTTATTTAAAAAAACAGCCTCTGACACGAGAAGTTGATTGCTATTCAGATATCACCAATATCAACGCGTACGGTTAGTTATCCACTCAAACTAGTGCGATATCACATTACAGTTAATCCCCCTCCCCTCTTCATCCAACTTGTTTGATTTCAACATTCGTCTGACCTTTATCCCCTGCTAGATAGATCGCCAACGCTGTCTCCTTTCGTTTTTTTACGAATTATCTGAATATATGATTGGCACATGGACGCATTGGACCGCGGGTAGCTTGCGGATCGGTTGGGTCCTCTGGGCAGATCATCGCGTCGGGTACAACGTTGCCATGCCCATTGCAAATCATTTGCGATATTCCCCCACGCCTAGTACGCTGTTCCATCACATTGAAGCGCCCCACTGGCGCATTCGAATTTCGTGTAAACAAACATTGTATTTCAGCATACCACATGGGACCCACACTGATCACGACGACTGATTTGGGTTCGTTTACTAGTATTTTTTTTAAAATGCTGCGCGTGTGCCTGACCTTTCGACAGGAGAAGCAATATCGGCGTTGAGTGGGCAGCACATATGGCTAATGCAAATTTCAATTACAGACCCACTAGATGTGTTCATCCCCGGGCCATTGAAAACTGCGATACCGATATGAGTATAATTACGTAAGATAATCCAAGACAGAGGAATATATCTTAATCATGGAAATCTGAGTATTTTATTTTCAAGTCCTGTCTATGTAATGTTGGTGAGTGATGTTGATGTTTAAA